CAGTATTGTTTTTCAGGGATGGGCAATTAATATGGCCAGGGAGATGGTATAACTCAGGGCTCCCACCTCTCAGGGACAGGAATGAGGTCTGTGTGTCTTCTGAGGGCACATGGGCTGTTCTGGGCCAGCCTCTGAGGTATGAGGACCTGATGTCCAAGGAAAGGACTTGAGTTTACCACCACCAATGATCCTGACTTCTCAGCAAGTGAAATAACTTTTTGCAGTCTTGGGAGGGACAGTAAGAGCACTGGATGAGTTGCTGCAGCCCTTGACCCTAAGTGAACCCCTTTCGTCCTTTTGTGTCAGATTCTGTGCTGTGCAGTGAGCTGTCATTGACATAGAATCTGTTGCTTTCTCCCAGCCAGCATCTGTTCTCAGGCCCAAGTACCTCAGTTTTCCTTTGGGAATTACATGTCACCTGCTTCCAGTCCAAACAGTTGCAGAAGGATGACCCCATATTCCACCCAGCTCGAAGATGGGTTTACAACCCACATCTAGCCAGTCCCATTTTCCATCTTCTGGTGATCGGTCAAGGATGAGAATGCAACCCAAGCCAGATCAAAGGCATTTAAAACTATGACTTTCTTGGAATCCAAGAAAAGGAGAAACTCTTTCTCGGAAAATGGATGGTGAATGGTTGTCAGTCTAGAACTGCTGTTGGCCCAAGTGCAGTGAGAGAGCCTGTGCCTATGAATGGGGTTCCCCAAAGGCATTGAGCGGGACAAAGGTTTGGAGAGAAGCAAGGTCACACGGAGACAGTGTGAGCCCTTGGACCTGCCAGGTCCAAACCCATTCTTCAACTTGCCACTTGTAAGTATTAAGGTATTTCTATCCTTACAATAAGTACTAATTTATTTTACTTCCGTAAGTGTGTCCAGTCACTGGGAAAAGAAAAAGTCCTGGTTGATACATCTGAGTCAATAATCCCTGACCCTTCCTCAGGTGTCCTCACTGGGTAGGCGTGGCTGGGGTAGGTGAAGACACTTGGTGGGGTCATAAACTAGGGGAGCTGGCAAACAGCTCTGTTCCTGCTCCTTCCCTGTCCCAGGAGAGGGAAAGCCTGGAACAGTGATAGGATAGCCAGTAGGGGAAGAGGTTCCTCAGTGGTTAATTGGCCTTTTTCATTTAGTGTCCATTTTGGTAATGTGTTTTTCCAAAGAAATCCCCCTTTTCCTCTAGATTTCCAGTTTGTTACAGTAGGTTTCTCTTATTTTGACGTTTAATTTTTCCTGTCTAATTTTCTACAGAATCATGACAAATAATGAACAATATACTGATACTTTACTATTAACTGAAGTCTCTATTCACGTTCCCTTTGTTATACCTTTCCTTGTTCCAGGGTCTCAGAGGACATGGGGTCATCATGTCTGTTTAGTCTCTTCTGGGCTCTGACAGTTGCTCAGATTCTCCTTGTTTCCATGACCTTGACAGCGTGGAGGAGGGCTGCTCAGGTATTGTACAGACTGCCGGGCGCTGGGATTTGCTTGGTGGTTTTGTTGTGGTTAGACTTGGCTTTGAAAAAGCAGACCACAGATGTGAAGTGCTTCCTCTTCACTATATATCAAGAGGACAGGCTCTTAAGGGAACTTCTCCCTTATATTCTTAATTTTGGTCACCTAGCTGAGGTAATGTTTGTCAGGTTTTCCCACAGTGAGGTTAATTTTTTCCCATGTCCATCCTGTGTGTCTTATGTAGGAGGCAGTCATAATGCAGAAGCCACACTTGAGGAGAGAGGGGTTAGCTTCACATCCTTGATGGACAGCTGACTTGCTATATAAATTGTTTAGAACTTTCTGCATAGGAGATTTCTATTTAACACCATTCATCAAAAACTATGTAATTTATTTATACCAGTTTGGACACGTGAATAATTATTGTAAACTTTTGGTTATAATCCAGCACTACATTATTAGACTGCTTAGTTAATTCTTGCTTTGGCTGTTGAGAGCTTCTTCCATTTGCTCTTGTTTTCATTTTACATATGTTTTCTTTTGTGGGTTTAAAAAATTTTTGGTACTTCTTTACTTTCTGATATTTTAAGATTATCCTGCTTCACATATTTACTGTCTCAGTCCTACCATCAGCCCTTTCTTCAAAGAGCCCTTGTTCCTTTTATTAGAGAATGGTATTAAAAACTTACATGTGGGAGCTAAATATGCTCAGCTGACAGTACATAGAAATATATGCATGTATCCCAGCCTATGCATATACACATAATTACAAAGATTTCCATGTGGAACTGTGTGTAGGCTAAAGATAGTTTATACTGATATCTCCAAGCGGATCTGTTATGACATGGATATTGTAACCTTCTCCCTTTGTTTGACTGTAACATCCAACTCCAGTGGTAAGAAACCTGGCTTCCACCATTTGTCATTTATTAAATTCAGTGCTTGTTCCATTTGATGATTGATATAGTAGTTTCAGTACTGTTAGCTGCTACCCCTCATGGGAAAGAACATAGAGTCCACTGTGTATGTATGACACATTTTGTCTTTGGCCTAAAGATTCTGTACATTTCCAAAGTTAACTTAGGTCAGCCCATTTGTCCCACTACCAACTGTGAGTTTTTTCATACATTTCTGAATCAGTTAGATTCTTTGTTACATTCTGTATCCCAGTCTTTGACACTCCCATATCCTAAGTAGCTAAGTTTGAATAGATTGTAAATTACTTGTTGGGTTGTAAAAATCTGTGGGTATAGCCAAATGCAGTGACAGGTATTCACCACTGAAGTATCATATGGACTATTTCGACCACATATTCTGTAAACTGTTTACCATGTCAGTTTTGCCTTTTCTAAAATGTCATATAAATGAGGTCATACACTGTGTAGCACTTCAGACTGGATTCTTTCACTTAGCAATGTAAGTGTTAGATGCATGTATTATTTTTTGGGGGGGGGCACGGGTTGATGATCCATTCCTTTATATCTCTGAATACTATTGCACTGCATGTATATGAGAGGAAAAATAATTTTCCCTCTACACTTCTATGTTCTTTATTGAAATCCCCCTTGTAATGAAAAAGAGACGAACTGGAGAAAACAATCAGAAGTTTAATAATACCATGCGTACCTCCTGTATACTTGAAAGATACCCAGGAAAACTGAGTCACTCCCTGAAATGGCTCAAGCCATTACCTTAAATACTTCTGCTGAGAAAAAAAAAAGATGTTAGGGAATGGAGACAGCAATTTAAGGGATGTTATTAGGCAAAGCCCAGTAAACAAAGGTAAGGCTGTTACACAGATTTACATTCAGGCCTATTTCATTGACAAGCTTTTTTTAAAAAAAAAACAACATTTATTTATTTGGCTGCTCTGGGTCTTAGTTGCGGCCTGTGGAATCTTTAGTTGCGGCATGTGGGCTCTTAATTGCAGCATGCGGGATCTAGTTCCCTGACCAGGGATTGAACCCTGGTCCCCTGCATTGGGAACATGCGATGTTAACCACTGGACTAGCAGGGAAGGCCCAACAAGCTTTTCTTGATATTTAGTCATCATTCAATTCCTTGTCCAGAGAGGGACATACCCTTACAAATGGAGATATCCTTAATAAATGTAAATTTACCTCCTAAAAGGGCATTTTCTACTTGGTTTTGAAAGATTCTCCTGGGTCTGCTGTTTCTTAAATTAATCAGTCCAAAATAATCCTTTTGTCAAATGGGCATATTTTGGGATGGTGTATTCTGTTCCCCTTGACATGTGTGTGCCCTAATTTGCTTATGAATTCATCTACAGAAGGACATCCTGATATCTTTAAGTTTTTAACCATTATGAATAGAGCTGCTGTGCATTACTTGAGGCTAGTTTTGGTTTGAATACAGTTTTTCAAAGCAGTTGTCTAAATACAAGAGGTACACTTCTCGGCTCCTAAGGTGAGACTTTTTGATTTGGAAAAATCTGCCAAACTGTCTTTCGAAGATGGTTGTACATGCATTCCACCAGCATCTTGAGTTTATTCTCGTATGCTTACTTACTGCCTGTTTATCTTCTTGGGCCAGGTGTGTGTTTCAATCTTTACCAGATTTTAATGGCGTTGTTGGTATAATTTGAGTACAAATCCTGTATCAGATATGTGTTTTGGAAATAGTTTCTTGCAGTTTGTGGTTTGTCTTCTGGTTTTCTGAATAAGGTCACCAGACCCAAAGTCATGTAGATTATCTTTTTTTTTCTTAGGATTTTTATAGTTTGGTAATTTAAATTTGGCTGTGGGCATTTTGAGTGAATTTTGGTTTAAGTTGTAAAGTTTGTGTCTACATTCATTTCATTACATATGGTTTGTAATTAATTGCTCCTTAACCATCTTTTGAGAAGATACAGTGAGATACTTGGCTCCATTTCAGTTTGGATTTCCAAACTTAGTATAAACAGCAGAACTGCCTCCCAGATGAGGCCTCTGGGTTTGTGAGTGCGGCACTCCCGGCACTTTTCTCACATCCCACAGGGGGCGCCGAATCCACCTGTGTGACCCTGGGGGCACAGGTGTACCCTGCCCACAGACTTTGCTCTGTGCCAAGCAGACAGGAGCTTTGTCTCCTGTCAGGGCCTAGGTTTCTGGACAATGAGGCATTGTCCACACTGACAGGAGCTGGGTTTTCTCAGGAACCACTGGTAAGGAGACTCCACAAGAGGAAAAAATGAGCAAGTGTGGAGAATCTTCCTGTGCAGCTGACTGCTGGCTGGGTGGGGTGCATCTTCAGGGGACTCTGGAGAGAAAGGGTTTAATGTGGAATACTGTGCACTTTTAGTTAGTTTTATGTGCAGTGTAGATGGTGACCAGTGTCGTTCTTTGGAGACTGGTGTCTACTTTTCCTGGCACTGTCTGTTGATTGCTTTAGGTAGAATAAACTTTTTTTTTTTACATCTTTATTGGAGTATAATTGCTTTACAGTGGTGTTTTAGATTCTGCTTTATAACAAGGTGAATCAATTACACATATGTTCCCATATCTCTTCCCTCTTGCGTCTCCCTCCCTCCCACCCTCCCTATCCCACCCCTCTAGGTGGTCACAAAGCACCGAGCTGATCTCCCTGTGCTATGCGGCTGCTTCCCACTAGCTATCTATTTTACGCTTGGTAGTGTATATATGTCCATGCCACTCTCTCACTTTGTCACAGCTTACCTTCCCCCTCCACATATCCTCAAGTCTATTCTCTAGTAGGTCTGTGTCTTTATTCCTGTCTTACCTCTAGGTTCTTCATGATATTTTTTTTCTTAAGTTCCAAATATATGTGTCAGCATACGGTATTTGTCTTTCTCCTTCTGACTTACTTCACTCTGTATGACAGACTCTAGGTCCATCCACCTCATTACAAATCGCTCAGTTTCATTTCTTTTTATGGCTGAGTAATTTTCCACTGTATATATGTGCCACATCTTCTTTATCCATACATCCGATGATGGACACTTAGGTTGTTTCCATCTCCTGGCTACTGTAAATAGAGCTGCAATGAGCATTTTGGTACATGACTCTTTTTGAATTATGGTTTTCTCAGGGTATATGCCCAGTACTGGGATTGCTGGGTCATATGGTAGTTCTGTTTGTAGATTTTTAAGGAATATCCATACTGTTCTCCATAGTGGCTGTACCAATTCACATTCCCACCAGCAGTGCAAGAGTGTTCCCTTTTCTCCACACCCTCTCCAGCATTTATTGTTTCTAGATTTTTTGGTGATGGCCATTCTGACTGGTATGAGATGGTATCTCATTCTAGTTTTGATTTGCATGTCTCTAATGATTAATGGTGTTGTGCATTCTTTCATGTGTCTGTTGGCAGTCTGTATATCTTCTTTGGAGTAATGTCTATTTAGGTCTTCTGCCCAATTTTGGATTCTTTTTTGTTTTTGTTTTTTTTGTTATTGAGCTGCATGAGCTGCTGGTAAATTTTGGAGATTAATCCTTTGTCAGTTGCTTCATTTGCAAATATTTTCTCCCATTCTGAGGGTTGTCTTTTGGTCTTGTTTATGGTTTTCTTTGCTGTGCAAAAGCTTTGCAGTTTCATTAGGTCCCATTTGTTTATTTTTGTTTTTATTTCCATTTCTCTAGGAGGTGGGTCAAAAAGGATCTTGCTGTGATTTATGTCATAGAGTGTTCTGCCTATGTTTTCCTCTAAGAGTTTGATAGTTTCTGGCCTTACATTTAGATCTTTCATCCATTTTGAGCTTATTTTTGCGTATGGTGATAGGGAGTGATGTTATCTCATACTTTTATATGTACCTGTCCAGTTTTCCTAGCACCACTTATTGAAGAGGCTGTCCTTTCTCCACAGTACATTCCTGCCTCCTTTATCAAAGATAAGGTGACCATATGTGCGTGGGTTTATCTCTGGGCTTTCTATCCTGTTCCATTGATCTATATTTCTGTTTTTGTGCCAGTACCATACTGTCTTGATTACTGTAGCTTTGTAGTATAGTCTGAAGTCAGGGAGCCTGATTCCTCCAGCTCCGT